CTGATACTTTCATTTCCAAATTGAAGAAGAGGCTTTCATAGGTTGGTCAGCTGGAATTGGAAAATGTCACCTTTCTTCCTATGACAACACCTGCTAAACAGTGAGAATAGGACAGTGCAGATGTTTTGATGATTAAGGAGAAAGATGGAAGAGCATGAGGAAATGAGCATACTCAGCAAAAATTTAAAAACAGTTTACCAATTGACTATGAAAGTGAATTGTGTGCCAACTCTGGCAACACTAATACTGTATACTTGCACTCCTACCAATGCTAAGGGTATTCATTTTCACATGTATCCTATTAGATGAAAGAGTTAGATGTCTTATGCAATGAGATGTCCCACCTCTGAAGGATGTCAATGAAAACGGGAGCGCTTCTGCAGTTACTGGGTACCAACTGTGCATAAGTATTCAGCTATTGTACACCATTTCTCCACCTCGGTCGGCAGGCCTACCACCACGTGAGTCATATAAGCCTGGGTCTATTCACATCAGCTATGCACATTCGTAGGCCTATACGCATGTGAAATTTGACCATCGAATGCTGTAGGCAGATCGAGTCAACAGTGGCGCAGAGGGGGGAGGCTAGGGGGGCAGAGGCGTAGCCATGGGGGGCTAAGTGGTACGATGTATGGTTTAAGTTTTTCCATGCCTAGGGGGAGGGGGGGGGGGACGGATGCATTTAGACCATAATTGGGGGGGGGGAGGCTTGCTGGCTAGCCTTCTACTAGCCATCTACTAGCCTTCTACTAGTCATCTACTAACCAGGTATGCCAAAGTTAATGCTCCCTACTAACTACGGGCGGTAAAACGTGGCCAAACGTTAGGTTGCATAATAATCCTCTAATTTCCATTCTCGAGAGATCCCCTTACAGCACCTACTGAATACTCCATGAAATACCCCATTTCGAATGGAAAATAGAGGGGTTAGAGAGGGGAAAGAAGAGAAAATCCTGTGACTGATTTGGAAGCTTCGCTCATGATAGCCTCAAGCCTCACCAGCAGCCTATCTCGGCGCCATCAGCATCCTCGCCTCCGGAAGTCTGGACGGAAATGGAGCGTCAGGGTTGTCACATCTTCTTTTCTCTCTCCTATCTCGCCGTGGTTTTTCTGTCCCTCCTCGAAATCTCGTCGGTTGCGCCTGCAAGGATGAATGGGAACTTTATCAATTAAAATGTGATTTTCTATCCCTAAAATGAAATTGGATGCCGCGTTCGAACGAGTCCTCTCTCGCGTCTGGCTATCTCCGTCGCATTCGCGCAGTGATCACCAGCCGAATGACGGCATCACTGCCATTTGCAACTGAATTCGCGCCGCCTTTCACATCGAGCATGGCAGATCCCAGGAGGCAAGGTGCATCTCGCGTGATGGGAACGACATTAGGCCTATGGAATCCGTGTTCGGGGCTTTATTCAATTGCAAATCAGCGCTGGCATCGCACAGCTGACGGAATGAATCCTCGTCGTCTAATTAGGGTCTAATTATGCTCTTTCTGGGAACTTCCTCGTGATTCCTCGGATCCGGAAATGCGAGCGAGAACTCGCACGGGCCGCCGAGATGGGGAAGGAATCGCAAAAAAAGCGAACTTTCATTCGACTTTCTTTCCGAGGACGAGAGAAAGTTATATGATAACGCTCACCTGCGATTTCTCTCTGGGTCGGAGGAAAGCCGAGCCCCGGTCACATTTGAAATTTCCAGACGCGACGAAAAAAAAGCAACATAGACTTGCACACTCCCAGAGCAATCCAACGCGAATGAGGAAATACGAGAACGAGACGGGCGGGGAAAAAAGCAAGTTTTCTTTCTGCTCGTAAACAAGAAATTTCCTCTATCTCCTTACTTTTAAGAGACCGCATTTAGATTAAGGCCGTGCGGTATTTCCGTAAAATTAATTCCGCTTTATTTTTGTCTCGGTTCCGGAACCAAACTTCCGTCGCGCAGCGACACTGAAGGCATCGGAAAATCCAAAGGAGTCGGAGAAAACTAAAGATATCGAATACGGTCCTCGAACTCGGATGTGTCTCGTGCCCATCCTTTTGCTTTGGCCCAGCCCCCCGGCGGGGGGGGGGGGGGTTGGATCCCTTTTTTTTTAATATTCTCAAGGATGGAAGTGACATCTCGGTCCATTTTTTTTTTTAATCCCTGATCGAGGCCAAGCGGTCAGTTAAAAATACTCTAGGCCTATCCATCTTAAAGATCCATATTCCAGCGGGCAGTATCGGCTCGTGATACTCAGCAGCAGTGGATCGTGAATGGAGGCAGAGTGTGCCCGGGCCTGCCCTCCGTCCATCAAGAACACAGTACCGCTGAATATCACTCGCCGCCCATGCCTGCGGGAGCATTATTCTCTACCGTCTAGTCAGGGCCGCCCAGAGGTTTCCTGGGGCAAAACTAAACCGGAGACCCCTTGGGGACCCCCTTGAGGCCCTTTGATACGCGGGGCCCGGCGCAGGTTGCCCCCTTTGCCCCCCCCCCCCCCCCGGGCGGCCCTGCGTCTAGTTACATAACGCTGCTTTGCTCCCGTTTTCCCCCTTTTCCATGCATTAGTCACCCGAGTGAAAAAGTTCTTTCGCGATCCGAGTTTCCTTTGAGGCTTTCGCAACCGGAACTGATTTCCCCTCGTTCGACTGTAGAAGGAAAAACTTATCAATTCCATTAATGTTTCCATGATTCCATTAACTAATGAGTCCCTCATGGTACGAGTACTCCCCGAGTACTTCTTAGACGTCTCGGACGAAAGTCCGCGTTTAATGATTTTGGCTGCCCGCCCTTGAACCCGGAGCCTTGCATGATGGCGAATAAATAATAAATAATAAATAAAATAAGCAAAATGTCGAATGAAGCGTGTCGTTTTCTCATCGGTGAAAAAAGCCCGAAGAAATACTGAACTGCCGAAAACGGTGAAGTGGAATTCTCTATCGTCGAAGTGAATCACATCGAACAATGAAAATTCGAAAAAGGAAAAAAATTCTCTGAGGTGCAATTGGCTCCGCACAAAAAATCGAAATTGCGAGCCACAGCCCTTGAAGAAAGCAATCTCGTCCGCGGAACCGTAGCTCTCCGTATGCTTAATACGTTGATCGCTCTCCATTTTTTTCGTTTCCTTTTTGGCTGTGGATGATGATTATTTAATTTTGCCACTTGGACGTTGGTTTTGGCTTGCTCCTGAAGGACACGAAGGTCCAAATGTTATGGGGGGGGGGGGGGGGCACGGGGGGAAGGGGGCGGATATAGGCTGGAGTCGAGGTCTGGCTCTCGGCAATCAACCATCTATATGATGTTCGGTGATAATATTCTAATATATGCTAATAATATTCTGTATGAGTTCCTTCTTCAACGCGTGACTGTATGATTCGAGAATGAAGGGGAAGATGATTCTGCTTATCCGTGACTTGAGAAATGTCGGCTCCCACGACCCCAAATGGAGGAACAACGGCTCATATATCACCATATCTCCTCATCTGACCAAGATCAGATGAGGAGATATGGACCAAGGTCTGATGAGGAGATATGGCGAAAGGGGCGAAAAGGGGTGAACCCTCCGAGGAACCCTCCAAGGAACCCTTGAACCCTCGACACCACGATATTCCAGCTTTCCAGGATCCCGACACGTTCGGGGAACGTTTTCATCTCGGTGCCCATGGATGGTTCGTTTTCTCGATTCCTCTCATCTGTAAAATGCTTTTCCGTGTCGACGATCGGGCAGTTCGTACGAATCGGGTCTCGACAATCCGACGGATTCGACGGGACAGCCGATTCGTACGACCTTGCATTTTTCGAGGAATCGGCCCATTCATTCGCACGGCGCACAGTGGTACGAAAGTCCGAATTTCTTGGACAAAAGTCGAATTTTGAAAATGGAGGAATAAAAAATCTTTTGTCGTTAAATGTTACGGATTGAAGTCCTTGTCTTGCATCGATATTTCTCCAGGCAACCTTCGCACCATGTAAAGGCTAATAAAGGACCAGAGGAAGGCCTGGAGAAATATCGATGCAAGACAAGGACTTCAATCCGTAACATTTAACGACAAAAGATTTTTTATTCCTCCATTTTCAAAATTTGACTTTTGTCCAAGAAATTCGGACTTTCGTACCACTGTGCGGCGCCAGAATCGAAGATTGGGACCGGCCGATGCGGAAATGCGACGGAGGAATTTCGCGGTGGCTTTTGCCCGCCAAAAACTCGATTGCGCTCGGCCGAGTTGGTTTTGCGGCGTTTAGACTTTTTTTTCGAACGTTGTACGGAGCGTCCCATACGTCTGGAACCATAAGCAGGATATCTTCTTCATATTTCAGAAGGTCTAAGTTGAAAAAAAAAATGGCACGAGGATGAACGAGTCGTGGCACGGTGTACCTGTGTAAACGATAGGCACCGCCAAGTACCCGAAAATCCAAACTTGTAAAATATACACTTTTTTTTCATTCTTGCCGACGATTCCAGGCTCGTGGGACTCCCTGCACACTCCGATTCCCAACAGCTTTTGCCTGCAACCCGGACCGATTGGAGTTCGATTCGATTTTGCTTCGTATCTTCGTATCAGCGGGCTTCTTACAATACGTGCCTTTCGTCGAGGACTTCGGTGCTTCTCATCGCGACTTTTCACTTCTTCCGGAGACCTTCAAAATGACGAAATTTGGAGTCTGAGTTCTTGTTTATCAGGCGAAAGGACGCGCGATCCACTCTGGAGCGTTTGTGATAATTCATCGTGATTTAATTTTGGCTCTAGAGGGAATTGAATGTCCGGTCCCATTACGAGTACCCGAGAGGATGTACTGCCACGGAAATGAGTCTCATTAAATGGAAAAGTTCCGTCGCCCGGAATTCTTTCTCGCCCTGGAAATCCAGGAGCTATAAGGACTTCGAACATCATCGTGGTGTGGTCAAATTAAACCGAACGATCGCCGAGTGAGAAGAAAGCCAAAATGAAATTTATTCGCCCAGCAAAGATATTCCACCCGAAGATTTTCGAGATCTTCGAAACGGCGCAGGCGACCCACCACTACTTCTTCCCCTTGAACTCCTCGTGGTTGGGGTTGAGCTGGTTGCCGTGGTTGTCCAGGTCCGGCTTCGTCCCCGCGCCGTGGTAGCCCGCGGCGTGACCGGGACCCGACTTCTCGTGGTTCGGGTTCAGCTGGTTCGTTCGGTTGTCCTGGGCGGATTTGGTCTGCTTGTCCATCTTGCGGGATTCGGGGATCTCGGCGGGTCGGGAAAGATCAGAGTGCTACTTTCGGCTTCTAAAAAAAAAAAAAAAAAAAATAAAATAAACGTAGGAGACATCCATGTGAGAAGAAAGATAGTCCAAAAGTTTAGGTGTCTTATCATTAGTCAAATAGAATTGAAAAAAAAAACGTTAACTTTAGTTTTTAGAGGCTAATGACGTTTCCAATACCTAGTTTTATCATGTGCAATAGACCACTGCGCAATTAGCGTCGAAGTTTTCAATGTTCAATCGCAGAAAAAAAAACATTATGCCAGTGAAACAAGCGATTGATGTTCCATCTGCTACGAATGAATCGATTAATTGAGTCTAGGCTCGATTAATATTTTCGCAACAGCGAGAAACTCGCATCTCCTCGCGAAATTTCATCGCTCAGGGCGAATTTGCACAAAGTATTTCCCCCGCAAACAAGTTCGATATCGGGCCAAACAAAACGCGAGAAGCTCGAATGATGAAAATTTTTGCGCCCTCGTTTCATATAAGACATAATCATTTTCGTTTCGAGTGAGCGACGAGACGGACAAGCGGCGGATTGAAATGACTCCGAAGAAACTTAACAATACGGGTCGAATCGGGTACTGGCACCGATCGATGAAGTCGCGCTTGGAAAATTCTCAGTACTTGATGAGTACTGAGTTGCACACTGTAAGAGTTTCTGACGAGGATTTAATGCGTTTCGAAATCCATTTCCGACGTCCTGTTTTCAGACAAGCTTTGGAACCAACTTTGCTCAACGCCGAGGTGAAGCTGTCAGCGGTGTCGCGGAGAAACAGGAGAGGCCGGAGAAACACCGGAGAAACACCGGAGGGATCGCAAGGGAGACACGGCGAGATCGACTGCATGGGTCCTGCCACATTTTATACTTTCAGCCCCGCCGATAAGGTCATTCCGAGTCCTTCCGAGTACTTCCGAGTACTTCCGAGTACTTCCGATGTTTCCTTGGATGCCTGATCTCGATGCAAAAAATGGAGTGGGTACCCTGGACCATGGACTGGACTCAACGACTGGATGCAAAAGGAAATAACAACGTAAAATGTTCAAGTACCAACTTATGTTTGTGGCAAATCCTTCCTTAAACCATGAAGGTTCGTCTAAAACCTGACAAGAGAAGCTGGTGACATTTACGGGCCAACAAATGCAAGCCGCGTGCGCTTTTCATTCCGGTATCGGGAAGTTTAAAGCGCCAGTGCAGAGAAACCCGTGTGAGTCGCAAAAGTCCTCATTGGATGGGTTTCGAACACTTCATGAGCATTGTCGATCTCGGGTTTGTTTTTTTTTTCAAGAAAAATTCAAAACTCGTGCAGGACTTACCTTTTTTCAAACGCAATGTGGACTTTCGGATCTCCTTCGTTTTAAAATAATGCCCACGTGAAAGGGGCAATCCGCCGGCCTCCAGCCTCCGAAGGCTCTGGAATTTTACAGCGCCTTCAGCATTCAGCATTTTCAAGTGGAATTAGGCTTGTTCTCATTCTGACTTAGACTGATGTTCCTGCCAAAGTCGATCGCATAATCTCCAGCAGTTTGTAATGCAGTGCATCCGCATTCATAAAAGACTTAGTCCGTGTTTCTTGTTCAACCGATCGGCACTTTGAAACGATAGTGCTTATTTTCGGTATTGGGTCCACGACCATGCGAAAACGTTCGACATTTTCTCGGAAACACGTCCGTCCATCCCCAAACCGATCCATCCAGGTTGAGCCCAATGCTCCCGCTTTCGTTTCGACGCGACGCGGGAAGCAAGGGTGAGATCCGACCGAGAAGAGCTTCTCGGGGATGTCAGGGATGTCACAGCCGGCTTCTCGGGGATGTCAGGGATGTCACAGCCGGCTTCTCGGTTCCTCGTGGGAAGGACCTTTGCACGCGTTTTAAAATATTCAGTGCATTCGTGTCTTCGCAGGTGATTCTGCTTGGCGTCGCGGGATGTCGAGAGCTCTCTTTCAAGTACGCGTCTCAAAGGGTCGGTTTCCCGAGGGGAAATGGAGCTCCTGTATAAGCTCAACTACAGATAAAATAATCGCGAGAGTAACGTCGACTCCCAATCGAAAACGGCAAGGCCGAGTCGCACGATGAGCCTTCTGCCCTTTGCTTTGCCCCCTTTCGACCATACTCCTTGGTTCCTCCCCTCGGCCTCTCCCCTTTTTTCCCCTTTTTTCATGCCCATCTAAGTAGACGGTCCACTCGTCCCCTGACGCATTCAGAGTCGACTGTTCAACTTTCTCCTCGGGACCACCAGAAAATGGATCTAGGTGAATGGGTAGATGTAAATTACCAAAATCCGCATATCACATCAAAGTGGGATTCATCTCCTGCTCCAAAGGGTCGCTCAATGGCGCCTATTCAATGGTATATTGACAGCCGCAGTTGAAGGCTCTTCCTATCGGTCTCATCGAATCCTTCACACGTGGAAGGTACGTGTCAAGATCTTGGGCGCTGGTCCAACCGAGGAGAATCACAAGACGAACGAAGCCGCGTTTAATTCCCACTCGGAATGATAAATCCCATGAATCCCACCCGTATCGCCTTGCAGCAAGACCCAAGACCCCCCTCGCCATCGAACGCCCGGCCGAAAAGCCTTCCGAGACACAGCCACAAGCGACTGGAGCAGCCGTGTGCCTTCCAAACTGGACATCTCAACACGGCGGAAGCAAGAGGACCACTCCGCGGATGCATCCAAAGGTGGAGGATGGAAATCCCTCGACGGAACCTCCCGCACAAGCCGAGCGACGTCATTCTCGGGTCGGGGGTCTCGCAGAGTCAGGCGAAGAGCCCAATCTTCTCCTCTCCGTTCCCTTGCTCAGAATCAATCTGGGTTTCCTCGGGCTTGGATGCCTCTTTCCTCAATTTCCTCCAGGAGTTCCAATGTCTTTCTCGATGCCGTCTGTGGAGAGAGGTCTGGAGACATGGGCGAGTTCCATATATGAGGTAACTGTGTTGACTATTTTGCCGGCATATCAATCCGGGGTCTTGGAACATTATCTGTTCGAATGACTGCTAGATGTCTCACTCGACATTTTTTTGTCCAATATCAGTAGGAAAGTGAGTATTCGACTCCAGCGCAACTTCATGTTCTCTCAACATTATTTTCGATATGGAGTCAATTTTGTTGACTCCTCTACCCCTCATCCCCACAAGGGGGGGGGGGGGAAGAAAATTATGAAATTATGTAGATTCTGGAAAGCTTTAGGAAAAATTCAGGAATGATGCGGGAAGCATGATTTTGATGATGCGGGAAGCATGGGCATTTTTCTCAGCCTTTTCTCTTGCGGGACTTTTTTCGCTCTGGGCGAGACAGACAATCGAAATTCGGGACTGCATTTCTAATTCCGGGACGGATGCTAACCACGTCCCGCCAGATGGTGCAATTATAATTCATATAATTATAATGAATGTATATTAAGAATTAAACAGCGAAGACGAGCTTCACTTACGTCAGTTTGCCTCGCATAGAAGCGACCAGCATATCACTTCTTGCAACAGTGTGCGTACATAATGTTTATCATAAATATTTTTACCGTATTATTTTTTCATATCTATATATAGGATGTTTTTTCGGCATCCTTGCCTTAGTCGTGCAATGCCCATTTAGAGGTGAATTAAAGGTGCTTAGAGTTGGATCATTCCACCTCAAATGAAGTTAGGTGCTCGACCTGTGCTCGACCGTCCCAGAATTCAATGAATTTTTCAATTTTCACTTTTCAAGGGACAGTTGGATCCAGCTGATACTCCACCGGGAGGTTCATGAGTCGAAATTTTTTTTTCGACTTGCTTGCCAAAAAAGTTGGCAAGCATTTCAACACCTTGGAACTGTCAAATATCGATCGCGTATCGAAATTAATTTTTTTTGCTTCATTTATGAAACTGTGTTTCTCAGCTAGGAAACGGAAGAGCGTTTTCTTTTAACCACCCTATAAATAGACGATCGTGAGTGACTGAGTGAGTCACTGACGCGAATTCTAACCATGTTCTAGAGAATCTAAAAATCTGAAATATGGTACACATGTACCTTCAGGGATGCAGAGTTCAGAAAAAATCTGACTTTGAAAGTGCATGCCCTAGGGGGAGATGTTTCTAATGATATATATTTGCTTCTGTCAAACGGAGAGACATGGGAAGCTGAAACTTGGCATGGGCGTGCCTGCTGAGACAGTTCATGAAAAAATGTCAATTTTCAGATATTCAGTTTCGGTTCAGGATATTTTTGGGGAGTGACATGTAAAAATTTTTTTTTTCTCCTACCGAAATGGGCCGAGATAGAAATGTGAAACTTGATATATGAGTACCTATGGGGAACTTGAATTCAGAAATAATCAGACTTTGCAGTAAAATGCCCTGGGGGCAAACAATTTTAAGAAGGGATATTTGAAAAAAAAAATGTTTTTTTTTTTTGCTGTAGTAGAACGAATAAACATGGAAAGATGAAACTTGACATGGACGTGCTTACTGAGACTCTGAGTTAAGGAAACATGCCAAGTTTCAGATGCAAGCCCTGGGGGTAGCGTCTTCGAAAAACTGTTTTGCCCTACCGCATTGGGAAGAAATGGAAAACTGAAACTTGGCACAAAAATAACTGAGGAGATTTTGAGTTCAGAAACGATAAAAGTTTGTGGTGTATACCCTAAGGGCGCAGCTATTGACTGCTTCGGCTTTTTGAAATATTTTTTTTTGCGCCAGCAAAAAAGAGCAAAACGGAAAATTCTGAACCTTGGTAAGCACGTAGCTCTCCCAGTGGTGATTTCAGCAAAAATGTTAATTTTTAGGTGAAACCCCTCCTCAAAATTTTTGCAAAAGCGCATTTTCCAGAATCCTTTCTGATCCAATGAAAGAGAGCTCTAAAGAAACTTGAAACTTGGAATAATCGGAGTAACTATTTCGTTGAAAATATCAGTTTCTTCTCTCTCGGCACCCATTTTGACAGGCAAAAACTTTTAGGACGTTTTAGCCGCTTTGAAAAAATGTTAAAGGTTGACTCACTAACCTGGACAATGGAGCGCAGGCGTATGCCTTCAGGGCGTATTGATTCAGGGTCACGTTTTAAAATAACTTATTTCACTTCAGCCAAAGCAAAAACGTAGAAAGTTGAAAATGGACGTGAAAGTGCCAATTAATGTGCTGATTTCCAGGAAAAATTCAATTGTCAGATATATGCCCTGGGCGCACAATTTCCATGGAAGAGTTTTATATGTTTTTTTTTCTTTCAGTCAAAGGGAAACATGAATAACTGAAAATGAGTATGAAGGAGGTTTGTGATATGCTAATTTAAAGAAAACTTTCACTTTGGAGATGTATCCCCTGAGGGGGGGAAACTATTTTTGTGGGGGACGTCTTAAAAAAAATTTTCTTCAGGGAAACGG